TACCAAGATAAAGGATGACCTTGGCAATCTAGAAAGGAATTTTATTTTGGCTACATAACATTCTACTCCGTACTATCCCCCCTCCCAATTCCCCACTATAAAAACAGCATAGTGGAATAGAAGTGTGGCAGGCCAAAGATCAAAAAGGAACAAGGCCTGACACTTATTTTCCAAGCAGATGTACTTCATATCCTACTCCAAGATCCCCTCTGCAAAAACACTTGCCAAACTATTTATCCAACATGTGTATAGATTACACAGGATTCATGACCACATCATTTCAGATGGGGGGTACAATTCACTTCCCACTTCTAAAGGGAATTCCTAATGTTGTTAGTCTCTGCCCAGATCTAAACCGCACCCATCACCCTCAAACTATCGGGGCCTATGAACATAGAATTCGGTTCTGCAAAGTACCTTAGTACCAGCAGGACAATTGAGGACCAGCAGGACAAAGTACCAGCAGGGCAAATGAGCCAATTTGCTTCCATTTGCAGAGGTTGCTTATAATAACTTGATCCATAGTAGCACTCACTTCATCCCATTTAAAGTTGCTTCTGGTCATGATTTTGTACCCATTCCAGAACTGCACCAGGGGAAACTTCAGATCCCTTCCTTAGTGGAATGGATTGAACAACTTCAGTGTATTTGGCCCATCACCTGTAAGGCACTAGAGGTGGCACATCAATCCTATAAAAGACAGGATGACAAGAAAAGAACTAAACTGAAAGAGTTCCAAGTAGGGAACAGGGTATTCCTGTTATGTCCATGCCCAAAAACATGTCCATGCACAAGGTGTCCAATCAGGAGAAGCGCCGGCTAGAGCGGGAAGATAGCTGCCCGCTGATTGGCTGCCCCGTTTGACAGCCTAAATATAAATAGCTGTCAAGCAGGGAACTGTTTGTTCTGTTTGGTTCTGGAGTTGCTTACAAAGAGAGTTGTTTGGTTTGAGAATAAACGGTTGTCATTAACAACTGTTTCGCCTCAGTTATTACCACCTTCCGAGTATGTAATATTGGCAACAAAGGTGGGATGCTGAGGCATAGGAGAGCAAGCACAATGAGGGACAATTTTTTCCCTCGCTCGCACTAATGCCTGAGGCAATCTCCTCAAAATGCTTATCTGAATGGCAACTCTAAACAACTTCACAATTTTCTTGCTGGCTTCTGAATCCTGGGAGGCATACATTGAACGTTTCGAATGCTTCCTTGAAGCAAATGGCCTCATTGATTTTCCGAGTAGCAGGAAACAGGCTTGGTTCCTGAGTGTTTATGGACACAAAATGTTTGGAACAGCCTGGGCTTTAGCTGCCCCTCAGCTGGTTCAATCCCTGTCCTGGGAAGTCCTGCTACAGAAATTACAGAACCATTATGCTCCAGCACCGTCACACATTGCAAGGCGCTACACATTCAGGCAAAGACTGCAGAAGGAAGGCAAGTCTATAAATCACTATACGGCCGCCCTCCAGTCTGCTGCATTGCATTGTGACTTTCCTAACCTAGATGATTCCGTTAGAACAACTTATGTGCGGAGTGAGTGATGTGAGACTCTGGCATCGTTTGTTAGCCCGGCAGGACATCAGCCTCCAGTCAGCATTAGACAGGGCCCGGGCTTCTGAAATGACTGTGCAAGTACATCTGGAGGAGGTGGACAAAGACCCTTCACCTGATCCTGACAAGACTGGCATCAGCTGCCTCAAAGCCACCAGGTTTAGAGCTAGCTGCCCGAGAAAGGAATTGCCTCATAACTATTGCGCAGACTGCGGCGGTAATAATTCCCGCACTTGGTGCATTTTAAAAATGCTGTGTGCCGAAAGTGCGGAAAGAAGGGGCATCTGTCAAAGGTGTGCCACTTGACTTTCCCTTTCTGTTACCAGGCTAATGACACCCAGCCTATCGTAAGCCGAATGGTAAAGTGCATCAGACCACTGAGGATTATTTCGCGATCTTCCGCGACCAGTGGCATATATCAAGCCAACATGACATCGGGCAACAAGATCTACTTCACCGTCCACATTGACGAGGTGGGGCCAAGGTGGCGCAGTGGTTAAATGCAGCACTGCAGGCTACTTCAGCTGACTGCAGTTCTGCAGTTCGGCTGTTCAAATCTCACTGGCTCAAGGTTGACTCAGCCTTCCATCCTTCCGAGGTGGGTAAAATGAGGACCCGGATTGTTGTTGGGGGCAATATGCTGACTCTGTAAACCGCTTAGAGAGGGCTGAAAGCCCTATGAAGCGGTATATAAGTCTAACTGCTATTGCTATTGCTATTGCTATTGAGGGGAACCCCTGTTGTATGGAGGTGGACACCGACTCATCTAGAGCCATACTGTCCTGGTCTACTCTGAAGCGTCTGATGTCATCTCTTTAAAAACAGCACTGTCACTTTGCTCCCTCAAATTGTGGGACTATCAAGGGAATAACATTCCCATTGTCGGCAGTGGCAAATTTAAAGTGGCCACCACAAAATTTTCGGGTCACCTGCCACTCATTGTGGTCCAGGGCACTCTTCCCAGTCTGTTAGGTTTAGACTTGTTTGATGGCCTGGGCCTGATGTAAATTCCACAATGGGCGTTGATGAGTGGGCCATCCTGCAGAATGAATTCGCCACCATTTTTGACGGGTCTCTAGGTAATTATAAGGGAACCCCCCATTAGCTTTAACCTAAACCCCCAGATAGCACCCATCCGCCTTAAACCTAGACGGGTGCCCCTGGCTCTGCGGCCTAAGGTGGATGCTGAGTTGGACAAGTTAATAGCCCAAGGTGTCTTAAAGCCAGTAGATTACTCTGTGGGAGACCCCTATTTTTATTCCTTTGAAACCAGATGGGTCTATCAAATTGTGCGCTGATTACCAATGCACAATAAATAAAGGGCTTCAGGTTCATCCTTACCCTGTCCCTGTGGTCCAGGAGTTGCTCCACACATTAGGACAGGGCTCCATTTTTGCCAAATTGGACCTTGCCCAGGTGTATCAGCAGCTCCCTGTGGATGATGCAACTGCTGAAGCGCAGACAATCGTTACCCACAGGGGTGCTTTTAAATGCTGGTGGCTCCAGTTTGGCGTAAGTGTCGCCCCGGGCATCTTTCAGGGTCTTATAGAGCGCTTGCTCCATGGTATCTCTGGAGTTGTCCCGTATTTTGACGATGTCCTCATTTCTGCTGAGAACACTGACCTCCTTGCTAAGGGGCAAGCTATTTTGTCAAAGTTCCAGGAAGTGGGGTTAAAACTTAAACCATCTAAATGCCAAATTGGGGTCCCTGAAGTTGAGTTTTTGGGTTGCTTGATTGATGTCAAGGGCATCCATTCAACCCCCTCGAAATTGGCAGCCATTAAGCAAGCATATGTTTCCACCAGTAAGCACCAGTTACAAGCCTTTCTGGGGCTTTTGAATTTTTATGCTGTTTTTTTACCCCATAAGGTATCAGTGGCTGAGCCACTGCATAGGCTCCTAGATGCCAAGGCTGTGTGGAAATAGGGTAGCATTGAAGCAGCTGCTTTCGCAACTGTTAAAGATCTTTTGACTTCCAGCGCTGTTTTTGTGCAGTACAGCGAACACCTCCCACTTACTCTGATGTGTGATGCTTCCCTTATGGAGTGGGCATTGTGCTTAGTCACCAGTTACCTAATGGGGCTGAGGCATCTTTGGCCTATTTCTCTAGGACTCTCTCCTCCGCAGAGAGAAATTATAGTCAATTGGATAGAGAAGCCCTAGCCGCAGTAGTTGGCATCAAATGTTTTCATAACTACCTTTATGGTCATTTTTTTGAATTGATCACTGACCATAAGCCTTTATTAGGTCTTTTGGCAGGCAATAGGCAGGCCCCATCCATATTGTCACCATGCATGTCCCACTGGACAGTATTCCTGTCTACGTACAACTATAAGCTCCACCGCTCTGGGAAACAGATAGGGCATGTGGATGCTTTGAGCCACTGCCCTCTTCCTGGTGAGGGTCTAGTCCTGTCTCTGACTATGATGTCCTGTTGATAGAGGACCTCACGGTCCCTCTTTCGGCCACCGATGTTGCTTTGTATTCTGCCAAAGATCCTACCATTGCTCAGGTGATCAACTCGGTCAAGAGGGGATGGCCACTTCCTTCTATTCAAGCACAGACAGCATGAGCTGTCTCTACAAGGGGGGTGTTTGCTGTGGGGCCATAGAGTGGTAATATGTCCGCAGATTAAGAAACCCATTCTCTGTTGTTTGCATGAGGGGCACCCTGGAATAGTCAGGATGAAGGCTTTGGGGAGAAGCTAGGTGTGGTGGCCTGGTTTAGATCACAACATTACCTGTTGGGTAGAGGGTTGTCAGGATTGCCAACAGTCCAGGCCACCACCACCCTCCATGCCGCTGAGACAATGGGAAATCCCCAAGGGTCCATGGTCTAGGATCCATTTAGATTTTGCAGGCCCCATTCATGGGCAAATATTCTTGGTAGTGGTCGATGCATATTCTAAGTGGGTGGAAGTCATCCTTATGCCATCGACCACTATTGAGGCTCTTATAAGGGCATTGCAGAGGCTGTTCGCTACTCATGGATGTCCAAACGTTTTGTGTCCGATAACAGGGCCCAACTAATGTCTACCCCTTTCCAGATGTTCTTGGCCAGGCATGGTATCCATCACACCTTTGTTGCCCCTTACCACCCCTCGAGTAAAAGGATGGCAGAGCAGACAATGCGATCCATCAAGGAGTCCCTAGTAAAATTAGGTCCAGGGGATTGGCAAACTTGAGTGAATAAGTACCTTTTAGTACAAAACACCACATCCTGTCCGCTGACCAACCGCAGCCCCACAGAAGTGCTAATGGGCCACTGCCTCCGAACCAATCTTGACCGGCTTCATCTGAGTTACTATGCAGATAACTTACTGGACATCGTCAGCCGCAGCCGGTTACTCCAAGTGGGCGACCCAGTATTCACTCACAACTAGGGGGGGGGGGGTGAGCTGAAATGGTTACTGGGACATATATTGCAACTAACCAGCCCCTGCTCTTACAGGTTGGGCCTGAGCGACAGGTGCATTTGCTGCTGCCACATTGATCAGTTGTGAGGGCGGCAGGCCTCAACACAGATGCAAGTTGATCCTCCACAAGTTGGCCCCGTTGAACCCCTGGATGTTCCTGTTGGCCCCACAGCGATGTTGCACCTTCCTCTCAGTCTTCCCACCATTCTGGGGCTGGACTTACCTGAAAAAACAGACCCAGCATTGGTTCTGCCTAATGAGGGGTCAACGCAGTCTCCAGTAGTTCCTTGGGAGAATCATTGTCCGGCAGCCGCCACAAAATTAAGAAGATCCGGCCGGGTGCACAGGCAGCCTGCATACTTGCAGGACTATGCATGTGCTAGGCTGGCAGAAAGGAGTGTTATGTCCATGCCCGAGAACGTGTCCACACTGAGGTATCCAATTGGGAGAAGCCACCGGCCGGAGCAGGAAGATAGGCACCCACTGATTGCCTGTCCCGTTTGACAGCTGTCAATAGCTGTCAAGCAGAGAACTGTTTGTTCTGTTTGGTTCTGGAGTTGCTTACTAAGAGAGTCGTTTGGTTTGAGAATAAATGGTTGTCGTTAACAACTGTCTTGCCTCAGTTATTACCACCCTCTGAATATGTAATACTTCCTATATACAAAGTACTTACAGACCACCCAGAAATCAAAGAAACTGGGACTCAAATATGTAGGTTCTTTCCTTATTGTTGGGATCATAAATCCGGTCATGGTACAATTAGAGCTACCCAAACCCCTTAGACAGATCCACCCTGTGTTTAATGTTAGCTTGTTGAAACTTGAGCATTTATTTCCTATTTGACCAGACCAGCCTGCTCCTCCAATTCCCCCCCTCATCAAAAGTGAACAACACTTCAAGGTCAAAGAGATCCTGGATTCCAGGAAGCATGGGGAAAAGTACAATATTTGGTGGCTTGGAAGCATTTCTCTCCCTCACAATCTGACTGGGTGAACATTGGGATGTCCAGGCCCCTAAACTCCTACAACTATTCCACACTAAATACCCTGACAACCCTTGATGCTATTTTACTCCTCTGTATGGTAGATTGCTTCTATCCTGTCTAGTTTGCCTTAAGGTTTTTTCCTTAGGGCTAACGCCTTTACTGCAGGCCAAATATCAGTCAGCTCTCCAACATGGGTTTTTCCCTTTGATGATTGCTTGCTACCGGCTGCCATAGTAACAGGGAGGAGGGGCATGGTATTGGGGTTTGTGAATGAGCTGGTGTGAAGAAGGCCCATGTGAATAAAAAGGGAGGTTTGCTCTCACGAATTACTGTGCTGCTGAATGGAGTGTTTACATCCATTCAACACCAACCGTCCTGGAACTCCAGATGGACAAAAACAACTGACTTGACCCTCCAAATGGCATTAGATGAAGCCCGTGCTGCAGAGCTGTCTGAACAGTCTACAGCTGCCATTCAAAAACTGAATAGCCTGCTGACAACTAGCAAGACTCTCACAATCCACCAGGAAGATGCAGTCTCCAAAAACCAAATGGATGATGATATTCACCACCTATGAACAGAACCAGAAAAGGGTCACCTAGGTGAGAAAAAAATTCCTCAGACTAGCTACTTGGGCTGCAAAGGTAATCACCAGCAGTCCGCTTGCAGATTTAAAAATGCTGTTTACATTGTGGGGAAAAGGGTCATTTGGCCAGGGTGTGTAGGGCAGCCCAGCCAGCAGTAGACTGACCCACAGGGCAAGAATACAAGAGAGGACAATTCAGAAAGCAAATTAACCAGAATGACAATAGTTTCCTGATTTCTAAAGAACAAACTGAAACAATCATAGGACAGGCTAGTTTGCCCCCTAGGAATATTTTTTTCATTACCTTTAACATAGAGGGATCACCTTGCTGCATAGAGGTAGATTCAGGTTCATCATTGTCTCTGGTCTCCTGGAATACTGTTAAGAGATTGGTACCCAGGATATCTACAAAGTGGCTGAAACCCTGTGCACTTAAGCTAAGAGATTACCAGGGAAAGGGCATATCCTTCCTTGGCAGTTGCAAATTGCTGGTGTACTATAGAAACTTCACAGGGTGCCTACCATTACTTATAGTCAGAGATGACCTGCACAGTCTACTGGGTTTAGATAGGTTTACAGCCTTGGGTCTAGGTATTAGTGGCATTAATCTCATCAGTAATCCTGAGTTAGACTTATTGACTAGGGAATTTCCCTTTGTTTTCAAAGGAGGTCTGGGAAAATACAATGGCACCCCTATTTCTTTTAATCTAGATCTGCAAGTCATACTCAGGAGGTTAAAACCACAGCCCTGAAAGGGAGTGCCCTTCTCTCTCTCAGGGCTAGAGTTGATGCAGAGCTCAATAAGCTCATAGCTCAAGGCATTTTAGAACCAATAGATCATGCAAAATGGGAAATACCCATAGTAACACCTTTGAAAGCAGATGGCTCTCTTAGAATTTGTGCAGACTATAAATGCACACTCAATTGCTCACCTGCCTACCAGCGGTGAAATGCTACCGATTCAGGCTGGTTCACCTGAACTGGTAGTAAAAAATACTAAAAAGGGGGAATTTTGACGACCATCTGGTGCACAGCTGATCTTTGGAACTTTTAAAAAACTTTTAAAGCAATTTTTAACTACAGGTTCTCTGGAAATGCAGGAATGTGGGTCCATTTTTGCTCCCAGCAGAAAGAAAGAAAGAAAGAAAGAAAGAAAGAAAGAAAGAAAGAAAGAAAGAAAGAGAAAAAGGGAGGGAGGGAGGGAGGGAAAAAGGAGAGGAAGGAAGGACTACAAACCTGGCACTAGACGCCACTTCAGAGGATAATCCAGAGCTGGAAAGGACCTGGAGATCATCAAGTCTAACCCTGCTCCAGCAGGACATTGTTAAGTTTCTGTCTTTTGACCCTCCCATAGCCATGCCCACCCAGTCACATGACCTTCACTAAGCCACGCCCACCAACCCATGCCCACATAACTGGTAGAATTTTTTTTGGATTTCACCACTGGCACTTACCCTGTACCTGTGGTACAACATCTGTTACACTCATTAGGAGAAGGGAAGGGCTTCACAAAATTAGATTTGGCCCAGGCATATAAGCAGTTTCCTTTGGATGATGCCACAGCTGAGGCTCAAACAGTGGTTACCCACAGGGAGGCTTTTCTGTGCTACAGACTTCAATTTGGAGTCAGGGTGGCACCTGGTATTTTCCAAAGTCTTTTTATATAAAAAAATTTATGTTTTTCATTTTCATAACATAACCACATGTATACTATTACAGAGTCAACATCATATTGTATTATTAAATGTTTGCATCAATTCATCTTACCATCAACTCCCAAAAATAATTATTGGCTCTTCTGCTCTCCATACACCATATTTGTCACTTTCTTCTCCCTCCCTCCCTACCTTTCTTCCCTCTGTCACTCTTCTCTTCTCTACTTCCCCTTCTGCTCTCCTTCTCCTCTCTCCCCTTTCCACTCCTCCTTTCTCTCTTCCTCTTCCCTCACCCTCTCTCCTATCTCTCTCTTCTTCTCTTATCTGTATCCTCTACTTCACACTCTTCATTTCATTTACTTGGTTATTACAGATTCTGAATGAGCTTCATTTTATGTTGATGGTATTTATAATTCCTTTTCAGTATACATATTTAATTTTAAAATATATCTTCCTGTTTCTTTTTTTTAAAGAGAGAACAAAAAGGTATACATATATAGTCATTATACTTTAATACACACACACCGGCCTAATTTTGGTCGAGATGTACACCTGGTTACAATTCCCAGCTATTCTCATCATTATGTTTATATAATTATACATCCTTATACGCCCCCCACTTGTAATTCTGTCTTTAATCTCAATAGTTTCTCATTGTAACTATATTTCATGTTCCCTCTCCATTTCTCCATATCTTGGTTTAGATTACCCTTAATTGTCTATAAATGGCAATCCTTACTATTCAATGTTCATTACAATTCCCTTAATCTACTATATAGTATAACAAGTGGTACACATCTCACTTTGTTCATCATCTTAAAAGTTCTATATATGTCCATGTTTCATTTATTTTAACCCATGCTTAATTGTCCTTCTATTGTTATATTCAATCAATTAGCAACTCCGTTTAATTATCATGTATAAAAGTGAATCACAAACCTCTGCTTTACAACCTCCCCATATCAGTTTCATATTTGTCCATATTCCATATGTTTTAACCTTTAATTATCTTTCCATCAGTGATGTGCAGTCAGATGAGGCAAGTGAGGCATAGCCTCACCACTCTCATCATGAAAAGAAAAAAAATGTAAAAGGAAAAAGGCGAGTGCTGAGGTGAGACTAGCTAGCTGCTGTCTCACCATGAATGACTGCCTAACTGTTTAAAAAAGCCTCTAAAGAAGTGCCCTCTACTGTGAGGCAGGAGAACTGCATGCCTCATCTAGTCTGACTTTTTAGGCATTTTATGATCGTTCAAGCAGAGTTAAGTGAGGCTTAAAAGCCTACCTCCCGAGGTAGGTGAGGCACACAGTTCTCGTGCCTCATAATAAAGGGCGCTCATTCTTCCTGTGACTCAATGGCACCACCGCTACCCCTCTTCCCTTTTTCTTCCCTTCTCGCTTGCGATACAGTGATAATAAAGGGGGAGCGCAGAGATGTACCTTCATCTCTTCATTGATTTCCCTTTTTACAGGATGAGCCAGCTTCTTGCTTCTTTTATTTTCTGGAGGTCTCACTTCTTTCTCCATTTTTGCCATATTTTATTTTATTTTATTTGTTTGGTGTGTGTGTGTGTATGTGTGGCGCACACACATGTGTGTATGTATCTACTTTGGTGGAGATGAAATGGCTGCTGGTATTATTTGGGAAAAAGCTTTCGGGGGAAGGTTGTGGAGAGGAAGGGAGGAAGGATGGGGATGGCATTTAGCATTGATTTGTTTTCCTCTCTTCTCTCTCTCTCATTCTCTCCCTTCAGATCTCTTTCATTTCTCTCTTCCTCTCCCTATTCTCTCTCTAATTTGATTCCCTCTCTTTTCCCTCTCTCCCATTCTCTCCTTCCAGCTCTCTTTCATTTCCCTCTCTCTCTTTCTCCCCTTTTCTCTT